AATATGATTTCTCTATTTCTCTGCTTTTGCCACGCTTTCATGCTTTTTTCCATAGTCACATGCATTGCTAAAGAATTCGATTGGGTATATTATGGCGTTTACTAGAGCTCTGCAACTTGTTGTATCTCTTCTTCTACAAACCTCACCAAACCGAGACGCAGTCAACCTCATTCTTCGATGAAGACGCCACAAATTGCAATCCTGAGATTTTGTGGCTTGCTCGATCTGGGAAATTTTGGAGTCGGTTTTTGCAAGTTTTTTCAAGAATTCTACCTTGGCAGCCTCTATATCTTCGTTGCTCATGTCAGGCTTCTCACAGAATTCCCCATAGGATGCGTTCTCTTTAGTATCACTATCTCTGATTTTAATTTTCCTTGGTTTCAGCTTCCTTTTCAGATTTTTGTGTGCTCTCCTTTCTTCAACATTAGCAATCAAAGAGGTTGGACTGAAACTAGGGAGTAGCCGCTTTTGGATCACACAAACAGGCCGCTGTGTAATGTGGCTCACTACGGCTGCAGCACATCTTCCTTGGTAGGATCTCTTCTTGCAATAATTAATCCGTTTACCCCCAATGAATTTAGCTATGATTGAGCTAAACTGCTCTACAATACTATTATCGACGTCATGAAGTAAACTTACTGCATTTTTAATCAGAATTGCCAGAAATGATATCAGCCCCCGGTGCAAATCTAAAAAAAAGGGTATACACACCTGAATTTGAAGATCCATGCCATCTGTCTCTGTTAGAGAATGCATATGCGAAACCTTGCTGTCATTTTTAAGCTAAAATAACATATAAAATATAGTTATAATAGTAACTACGTATAGTCTAATTTATTGGCAAAATGAATGCTAAAATTCATAATTGTTTTGGTACCTACCTTTCTATCTGGAAAACATTTTTTTTTCCTGTGCTTATTTAAATGCGGCTTCTTCGAGACGCCACGTTCATTTCTCTTATTGTTCATTTTTGATACCTTGATAAGAAAGACACTCAACAATAACAACACAACAATAACAACACAACAATTACAACACGATAATACAACAATACAATAACGGTAATAAGAGTAATAAGGGCTGAGTATAACATACTATGCGCCAAAATAGGGAAACAGTCGTACGCTAGATCGTATATCCAAATCAAATCCGACTCTGTGCAATATGCAAATTCAACCAGGCACGCGAACAGCACACCTCTGCGTATTACTATCCTTTTCTAACGTAGAGCGCTTGCCTTGTCACAACGCCGTCCTACTAGCGTTTCCCTATCACCCCCCCGATTCCCCTCAGAAACTCTGCTTGACTGTGAGAGCGCCGTTAAGAGTTCAACAAGTAAGCACAACTCCAATCCATCTGAAGAAGTATGATGTAGAATGGAGTAGACGTAGAGTTAGCCAAAGGCGTTTTTTTAGATATCGCAAAATTCGGTAGTTTTGAAGAAGGATCAGGTTCTGGTAGTTGTATAAAAATGATGTACCTCAGTTGTATCAAACGTGGAGGTACCATCCGGCGGATCTCGTAGGCGGGGCCAGAATGTGTGTTGCATGCACACGTATTCCCTCGACAGAGTCCGTGTGGCGTTCCCCCTTTCCCATGTATCCCCCTATAGCCCCACGGTACCCCATGGGTAAAAAAGGATTTAGACTGGGTAGGAACCAGACAAGGATTGTTTATCATTTAATTCTCATAATCTGTAATGAGGATCAAAGTGCACTTGATGAGTCAATTTGTTGACAGTTCTGTGATTAAATTCATATTTTTTAGTGTTTGCAGATAATTGTGGTATTGGACGAATTTAAGACACGGTACCAACTTCTTACATAATTTGCAAAGAGCAGCAAACGCATAATGAAAGTAGACGTTTCCACCTGTAGTACTAAAAATAATAACTTTTATTCAAATTGCTTTGCGGATATGAAACGTCAACAGGAAAAGGTCGGATTTACATAAGCAAAAGAAAGAATACATGACTAAATTAGAATAAAATAAATGATAAGTTATAAGTAGCAAAAAAATATTTGTTTAGATATATAAATTGTTAAATAGAATATAAAAAGTCTGCATCATACATACATTTAAATTAAGTAAAATAATCAATAAAATAAATAAATATGTAACTATTAAAAAATATAAAACTCTTGTAGAGAGTAAGGACACTTAAGGTACAAGTATGTTAAAAGATATTGTTTGAAGACTTTTAAGACGTTGATGGCTTTTAACTCGGAGGGCAAATTAATGAAGATAGATCTATATAGGTAGCAGGGCTATTACGGTATGTACTGAGGCTATAGTTGTTCAATGTAACGTCGTTATTATTCCTTAGATTGTATCTCTGGGACTATTTTAGGTAAGTGAATTTGGAAGGATATGATTTCACATAAAGGCACGTCACACGTGAAATTATACTTAATATCAAGAAGAAGGACATAGCAAGAAGGAACTGGAAAAGTGAAAAGTTTTCTTATGATCAGTTCAGTAATTTTAGGAAGCTTATTAAGAACCAGATCAGTGTTGCTTACTCCGCTTACGTCCAATCGGTTGAGGATGCCATTGTCTATGATCCTAGCAAATTCTGGTCATTTGCCCAGATCAAAAACAGCAATCTAGAATCCCCCAAGGATGACGCTTAACGGCAATGTCTGCGATACGCCTCAGGATATAGTGGACAGTTTTGCTATCTTCTTTTCAACAGTTTTTATCCCGTTTGGTCTACTAGGGTCATCTCCTCCAACAAATAATTCTACCGATATCATTTCTTTAAAAAACATAAGTGAAGAAAACGTAATTAGGGCTTCGAAAAGATTAAAGAACAAAATGACGTCTGGATGTGATGGTATTCCAAGTTTTTTTCGTTAAAGATTGCATTCATATACTAGCGAAACCGCTGGCTTCCATATTCAATCTAATTCTAAAATCAGAGACATATCCAAATATCTGGAAGACCTCTAAAATATGTCCTATTCACAAAATGGAGATATCTCTGATATTTACAACTATCGCCAAATAGCAATCCTGTGCAATTTCAGTTGTTTGAGATCATCGCTTATGAAACGGTTTACTGCTCGGTCAGGGGTACAGTCTCTATTAATCAGCATGGGTTTATGAGAGGCAGATCTACGGTCACCAACTTGGCTCTGATTACTCAGTCTGAAGTACTGGACGGTCAGGGACAAGTTGATATCATCTACACAGATATTCAGAAGACGTTTGATCAACTTGATCATTATGCACTTCTGGCTAAGCTTAAAACAGTGGGCATGTCTGATGCAATGCTGTCGCTCATGAATTCATATTTGAGGGATAGAAGGTTATTTGTCGAATATGGTGGTCATAGATCGAGTTACTATCGGGCCACGTCTGGGGTACCTCAAGGGTCAAATCTAGGTCCATTATTGTTTTTAATATTTATTGATGACTTGTCTTTTGAACTGAAGTGTTTCCATTTGTTTTTCGCTGATGACCTTAAAATCTGCACGTCAGTCAAGACAGTCGAGGATTGCGTCATGTTGCAAGATGACTTAGCTCTAATTTCGTCATGGTGTTCACGAAACTGTCTCAGTCTGAATGTTTCGAAATGTAAAGTTATGACTTATACAAGAAAAGTTAACTATTTAATTTATGATAATTATAACATCAATGGTCAGGTTTTAGACAGATGCATCTCTTATAGAGACTTGGAGTCATTTTTGATACCAAGGTAACGTTTACTGAGCATATACTCAATATCTCGTCGGCTGCCACTCGACTACTTGGTTTCTGTATCAGAAACTGGAAGGGTTTCTCCAATGTTGATACATTAATGACTTTATTTTTTACTTTTGTCAGGAGCAAGTTGGAGTATGCGACTCTGATCTGGTCTCCTATATACCAAAATTCTGTCGTGATCCTTGAGGCCATTCAACCTAAAGCTTTAAAGTATTTTCACCTTGAATGCACAGGTTCTTATCCAGAAAGAGGTTGTGACCATAGTGCCCTATTAGAGGTTTTCAATTTGGATTCACTGTCAACAAGACGAAACATATTTGCTTTGTCGTTTTTGTATGGCCTCATTCACAATAAAGTTGACTGTCAAAATTTACTTGAAAAAATATGTTTCCGCGTTCCAAGGCTAGGGAGTCGACAACAAACGGCATTCTATTGTCAAGCTGGCCGTACAAATGTTATGACAAAATCGCCAATTAATCTCATGTGCTGCGTCATGAACAGTGTTACTGAATCGTGTGATATTTACAGTGACAGTTGTGCATCGATTATTAACTGCTATAGATCATCCAATCTTATTTAGAATATGTGATACTATAGATTTAAGTCCAAGAACCATGTCTCTTTAATTGTTATTTTTTCAGCGTTTCCTGTAATTGGGTTTCACCTGTTGGAAATAAATAAATAAATAAATGAGTAATGGTACTAAAGTTAGTATTTTTTCATATCTAAATGTTTTCGACAAGACTCTAGAGGATGCATGGGAATAAAAGTCTGACTGTAGCTTTTTGAAGGATGAAGATTCGCTGAGCCTCAACAGAGATCCTCAATATAGCACTAAATGTTTGAGGTGGAAATATAGTATATTTATGTTATTATGTTGATACAACGCTGTCAGGTAGATATTTTTAGACAAATGAGTAAAAAGTTTGCTCTAAAACTACACAATTTTGGAGACGAACAATGCAATGTCGTTGGTTGTAATCGTATGTACTAAACTGATAATAAAAAGCTGATTATGAAATTACCGTTGATCAAAATCCCCGACTCAACGTCCTTCTGTATCTCGATAAGCCGCATCATCATCAACCTGATCATCCTGAGATTCCCAAGATGGCCCGCTGCCGCTGCATCCGCGCTTCATCTTGGAGGGGGGCGGGGACCGGGACGCGAAGACAGATGACGATCTGCGGCGGCGGCGGGATCCCCGCAACATCCCACGCACTCTAGATTCTCTAGTCCCGCCCGTTTCATCCAGCACGGCCACCCTGGATCAGACCGCGACGCGCACTGAGCCCGAACACTATCTCGACTCGCATCACCGGGATTTGTATATAGAGATTAGTGTAAATTGTGTACGAATTCGTCGTCAATATTTGTGTCTGCCGGGCCGCGATGTTTGTAATATAAGCTGATTGTTTTGATGTGGATGAACGATGAAGGCCGCAACGGCAGAGCAAAGTCTGCAGCAGACGCTGCAACAGTTGCACCTGCATCAGCAAGAAACTCAGCCTGCTCAGCAACCAGAGACCACGGTCGTCGAAGCTGATTCGAAACCGACGAGTAGCGAGAAAAAATCGGGGGTGCGCAGGCAGGAAAAACCTCCGTATTCTTATATAGCGCTGATTGTCATGGCGATACAGCATTCGCCGACCAAGAGGTTGACGCTGAGCGAGATATATACTTTTCTTCAACAAAGGTTAGTCATAAAATTAATTTAATCTGATTCACCTAGGCTGGTTGGTTAACAATTAATTATTATCTATGGGTTCATAAAAAATAGTTGATTTTGTATATGATATTCAAAAGGGCTCTAGATGAAAAACAAATGGTTATAGCAGTATTTATAGACTTAAGGAAGGTGGTAGATACCAACATATTATTAATTAACTTACAAGGTATAATATTTAAGGGTACTATGTATGATTTGATTAAAATTTATTCACTTAACAGAAACCAATATACGAAAATTAGTGAAACAAGTAGCGCGTGGTTATCTTGCAACAATGGTGTTCTCCAGGGGTCAGTCTTAGGGCCACTATTATAATCTCTATACGTTCTAAATCTAAAGAGTGCTAATCTTAATGCAAGGTATATAAGTTTTGCTGGCGACACAGTTCGTCTTCTATAAAGGAAATAGCGAACAGGTTCTGCGTCATGAAGTTAATTTATAACAAAATATCTAATTTTTAAACAGAAGAATAAGATAGTTGAAAACCTCTGTATAAGAATAAATAACGTCAATATAGAAAAGTATCAAGCATCACATACCTTGGATTAATTACAGATAAAAATTTGAATTGGTCTAGGCACATTGAAATTTCTTTTTGATAAAACAAAGTCGATAATAGCTGCTTTGTACTGAGGTGGAGACTACCATAAAAAGTAACAAAATAACATTTATAATGCATTTTTCTTGGCATACTTTAGATACATGTTACCTATTTGGAGAATGTGTGTTAAAACTGAATTTCAAAAAGCACAAGCTTCAAAATAGAATATCAAAAAAGTTATTCAACTATGACCGTCTTATCGATACGTATAATATTTACGCAGAATCTAGATAATTTGTTGTAGTTGAAACAATGTAAATCTATTTTCAAAATTTGATGACTATGAAACAATACCAGGTACGAATGTGTACCAGACCCCCACTAGAAGTACTGTAGAACCAAATAATCATCACTGATGCAGTAAAAACGTATAGTAATCCACCACAAAGTGTAAAGGATGTATATTTTTTCAGAAATTTTGTAAAAAATATTCAAAAGTCACTTGAAATGTAAATTTATAATATTCGCACTTATGATAGTTGTTCTCGAGGCCAGTGTTCTGAACACAGATTAGAGAACTTTGTTAACTATAAATACAAAAAGAATTGACTGTTAAATCAAGATTGTTTTTGAAAAAATAGGTGTAGTCATATCACTATAATGCATCAAACCTTGATCCTGTGACTTCTTCACGGCTCCAAAATAGAACTTTTCGTAAAGCTCTGCAGTTCAGGCAGTATTGCCAAATATTTGGAATATTTGGTACACGATGCTTCAAAAAGAGCGCAGACATTTTCTCATTCTCGGGCGGAACTTACATAAGGCTTATTTTCTACGCAATCCAGTCAATGAAGCTCCTACTCTTAAAACTTTCGTATCGTATCATATCGGTATCGGACCTCAAATCTCGATATGGACTCATTTGCCTTTTTCAGAGAACTTCAAAATACGACCAGACTTCATGTCCGTCGCGAAATAACGTAAATGATGTATACTAAGTGACATATAAATCCGAACACCCAGTTTAAATGGTTTTATTTTAATAAAATTTTGTATAACTACTTAATGAAGCATAATAAGTAAATGATAAAAATTTCAAAATGATTGCACTGCTTTAAAGCCCGTTGAACTTTAATAATGTGTGGATGCACCCTGATGTGCTACGCATTCTCCAACGCGCCTAGGCATGCTTCTGATCAGGTGGTCAATGTCCTCCTATGGTATCTCATTCCAGGCAACCACCAACTCCTCTCGAAGTGCTTCTAGAGTCTGAGGAAGACGTTGCAAATTGAGCAATCTCCTACCCATCATATCCCACACGTGCTCAATTGGGGATAAGTCGGGAGATCTTCGTGGCGATGGTAACAATGTGACATCATTATGTTGAAAGAAGTCTATTGTGACTCTTGCAACATGTGGTCGGGCATTATCTTGTTGGAAAGTTGGATCTGCCAGGGTGTCAAGATAGGGTAAAAGATAGGGTTCTAGAACTTCGTGGATATAACGCTGCGCGTTCATGTTACCTCTGATGAAGATTAAAGGTGACCTGGAACCTTAAGCTATAGCACCCCAAACCATAACTCCAACAGTGTGATGAACATGTCTTTCAACAAAAAACTGTGGATTCCTCCTTTCACCACGTCGCCTTCTAACCCTGGCACGACCATCGTGCATGCCTAAACAAAATCGAGACTCATCACTAAAGACAATACTGTTCCATTCCTGATCCCAGAGTGACCGTTGTCTGCACCACTCAAGGCGATTATGTCGGTGTTCTCGAGTTAAAGGGAGGACCCAGTGTGGCCGATATGAAAACAAGCCAAAACTTCTCATTCGTCGGTAAACACTTCGCATGCCAATAGGTCTTCCGTGTTCTGCAAACCATTCATTTGCAATGGACCTGGTAGTGGAGAAACGGTCCCTTAAGGCCAATAATCTTAGGCGGCGATCTTCACGGTCTGTTGTTCTACGGCGGCGTCCAGTGCCCCTTGCTCTTTGCGGACGGCCTTCTCGAAGCCATGCATGACAACACCTAACCACAGTGTCTACACTTTTTTGCACTCTAACTGCTATTGCCCGAAAAGAAAGTCCAGCTCCCCGAAGTCCCACTATACGGCCCCTATCAAACTCACTAAGTTGACGAAATCGTACAGGTCTCCGTACTCTAGGCATCGTAACCAATCGTAAAGGATGTCAAGAACCAAAATCCGCCAACGTTGATTCTTTACTGCGGCTGAAATATTCATTTTTAGAGCGTTAGTGAATTAAAAAAAAACAGTATAAAAACCGGAATGTCCAACTGATAAGGCTGAAAATTTTTTCACTTGTTATTTACAGTAAGATAAATATATTCACCAACTTTTATTAAAATAAAACCATTTAAACTGGGTGTTCGGATTTATATGTCACTTAGTATATATATATCAAAAGTTCTAATAATTTTTTTGCAAATGAAACTCACAGATTTTTTTGGACAAAATTCCTGCTTTTAAGCTTTCCTTGCTCTCCGGTATGTCGGTGAAAATTTGTCTAGAGCTCAAAGCTCTATCTGTTTTTAAAATCTCCTTATACTATTCAGCCTATAAACAACTATACATATGTAAGGTTCTGTTAAAGATATCTCTTGCTGTTATAGAACTTCTGTAATATCATTTTGCTTCTGAAATGCAATCTCCAATATTGTTAAGCATATGTTCGTCAACGGTAGTAACGTGCATCTTTTGTCATGGTGGGTACCTACTGCTACAGTACATATTTGATTCTCCGTCTTGCCTGAATAGCTTACTGGTCATCTGTAGGTCAACTCTTCTACTCTATAAACAAAAAACTCAGCACACTAAAGTTTTTCGACAGTGGCCCTTTTCCAAGCACCAATTCTAGTTGCATCTGGTTGTGGATCGTGGAATGTCTTTATTGTCAGATATGTTTATATTTTGTCTTCTCTATGGTTTTTTAGTAGTATCCAGAAAAGAATAGCTCATTTGTCAGTCCTGCTTTCTGGATAGCTCTAACGCATCTGCAATGAGTTTCATACCGCAGCCATGCAAGTTCATCACGGCACACAGATCTGAGACAAAAAAATTTATATTTCTGTCCTCGATACAGACCTAATTGGATTGTACGGATTTCCATCACATTTTCGCCACAAAACCTGTCCACGAACCTCTCAGGCAACCTCAGTGACCCACAAATCTAGCTAAAAAAGTCTGCAGGCTCAAAATAACTAAAATTCGATCAACAGCAAAAAAGATTATTTCGATTCGCGCAATGTTTACCAATCTGAGCTTTAAAGTGAAAACGCGTTGCCCTCCCAAGGCCTGAGACTTGGAAAACATTCGTGTTTCAACGTTTAACTTTTCTTTGATTCCCTTACTGTAAAAGCAGACAAGAGCTTCGACATGCTATCCATTTAAGCCCCAATGAAAAATTATTATTACGTGGAAAGATGCGCGAAAATCTATATTACAGAACTGGTTTATTTTGAATTAATATTGATCTTACCTCTGTTCATTTCTTACTATTCTGCAAACGGAATTATTGACAGATGTGAACTCACTTTTTAAAAGTCTAGTTCGATCACTAATACATTAAAATTCAACTTCCAAAGCTCTATTAACATATAGAAACGGAAAGCGGTTAGCAATGTTATTCGCAGTGACTCTTTCTTATGAGACAGTTTCGGTCCTAAGATCCATGGAATCTCCCATATTTTTGTATACTAAATCAGCTGTGCAGGCAGAAAACTAAATTTTGAGATAGCGCAAACGTTATAAGGAGTTTTTTTGTGGATATACTATGTGACACATTGGTAGCACTACAATACGAGGGATGTCTTTTAAGTTTTGCATATGGAAATAAAACAACACGGTAGGTAGTTTTAAATGACTTTATTGCCGACAGGTGGGGTATCCAACGAGAAACTAATTTTCTTACTCCTAATTATTCATGTAAAATTTTTTGAATTGAGGTCTTTGAGATCTTCAAGGACGCCTCAACCTCGCGATATGTCACATGTCTATCTTCAATGATGAGTTTGCGCACAGCATCGACGTTTTCCTGGGTGACTGCGGTTTTTTTGGTGCACCCACCCTGGGATCGTCGCTAAAACTCACCCGTCGACGTTTGAATTCTCCATACCAACGGGAAATTGTCGATTCACGTGGCGCTTCGGTGCCGAAAACAGACAGTAGCTCCGCAAGCATTCTTGTTGCGATAATTGTCTCTGAAAGTTGTAATAAATTATTGCGCGAAAATATTCTCGGTTGAGTTCCATTTTTCTAATGACTTGGTGACACTTAAAAATTCACTGCACGTATTGTTGTGAAACTTTGAATTTAAGTTTACTAAAGAGTGAGGTTAAGATTCAGTACTGACGTTCGATCCGCGCGGCCCACTATGTTTCTATATGCAAAACTTAAAAGACGTAGTAGAAAAAAACTACTCAAAAAAATTAAGGGAGCAAGGAAAAAATCCAGATGTTTCAGTGATCTTTGGCAGGTTGTATTTCAATGAAAAACGGTCGTATCTAGACTTTAAACAAACCATTTTGAAGCTTTGAGGTTTCCTTAGCAATGATTTTATAAAAGTCGGAAAATTGTCACTTTTCGTTTTTTTTTTTCGGAAAAGCGACCGCATTTTTGGGTACTACTAATAATAAGGGTAATGTTTTTAGGTTTTTTATGCCTCAATCTACCTTTAATAATCCTACCCGACGGCAGGTCGATCCATGTGGTTGAAAATCATTTTTCTTATTTTGTTGTCACTATTGAATATCTGTAACACCTTATTTTAAAAATAGCAATTGGAACAATTTTATTATTCGATTATTGTAATGTTCTAAAGAACAAAAATACTAAGCAGAGGCGGACTTAAAAACTATTCAATGTTCTGTCCGACACTGAATTTGTATCATTTTCAAACCTTGAAAAATTCGACCAGGAGAAACCGTACAATGGATCGATCTCTCGTCGTATAGGGTTATTATGGGTATTGAGGTATACAAAAACCTGAAAACATTCCCTTCTCATTATCAGTTTTAAAAATGCAATCGATTTTCCCAAACAAGGCTAAAAGCAACTTTTTTTAATCTTTTAAAATCAGTACTAAGGGAACAAAAAATGTTCCTAAAGATTCAATCAATAAAATCAAATCTTATAATGATCATGTTGAGATTTTAAAAACATAATACTCGTATTGACGCTGAGTAAACGGCCGTATTTCACCAAAAGATCACCAAAAAATTTGGATTTTTTTCTTGCTCCTTTAATTTTTTAAGTAGTGTAGATGGATAGCCACACAGAAATGAATTACCTAGTGAGCTAAATATTGAATCAGTGTCCACGTACCTATATAGGTATTTCATCATTTTAATATATCCAGGACTTCCAATACTGAATAATAATGAATTTATTACAAAGATTTTCTAGATATACATACCTGTATGTTTGCTTAGGTTAGGTTAAAAGAAGATCAGCTTTTCACCCATATCGATCAAGTAGTTTTCGTGACATCGTCTGTTCTTTAAAAAAAAGTACCTACCCGATAGTTGTGCTTTGGAGCTACCATTGGAGTATGCCCAGTGAATATTGATTTTTTAAGTTTTCTCCACGGTTTGATTTTTCTGAAACTTTTAATCAATTACTTACCTAACACTAAGAGGCATGTGTATGAAAAATTGTTGTTACTGGGCGTTATTTTTTCTGTGTCATTTAGTATAGTTACGGTTCGCTCTAATGTCAGCTGTGTAACTTTTTAGCGCGGTCGCACATGTTTGAATCTCCGATTTGAAATGGCACTTGAATAATACGTTTGTGCTAAAATGTCAATTGCGATTTCGTTAATAGTAAGACTAATATTCCTTGGGCTGTACAGATACGGTCTAGGTCAATCCAAGTTTCCCACATACTAGTTAATAATTCTGTGGCATCCATAAATAATAAATACTCTTTTAAACATAGAATGGGAAAAATTATTTAATACCAAATCTGTAGATGAAGCTGTAGCCATATTCTATAACATACTCAATGAAACTATTCACAAATTTACACCAACATATAAAATTCGAGGATAATACCCAACATACTTTAAACTTGAAACAATACAAACAGTTAAGAGAAAAAATAAGTATCATAGGCTACACAAACGTTTTAATGATCCATACTCATACCAGATATTCTGTGACCTTAGAGCCATATCAAAAAACTTAATTAAGGAAAACCTGAATGAATACATAACAATGATGGAAAACAATATATTGAACGACAGCCGACACTTTTGGAAATACGTGTCAAGTAAGAGAAAATGTCATGTCTCTATACCTAGTTCTATAAATCATTCAAACTATGAAGTTAAAACCGGAAGTGCGGTGTGTAATGCCTTTGCTGATTTCTTTGCAAGTGTATATATTAAATCTAAACATTTTTATTTAAACAAGGATGCTAGTCCTATTGATGTTACCTTAATATCCATTGAAGAAATATATCAACAAATAGTGTCCTTAGAAATTAAAGAATCAATAGGCCCTGGCGGCATACCTCCTGTATTTATAAAAAACTGTTCCGCTAGCTTATGTTTACCACTTCACCTAATTTTCAAACTATCATTAACTGAAAGAGTCTTTCCAACGAGATGGAAAGAAGGTGAACTATTGCCTATTCATAAAGGAGGCGATAGACATCTTGTGGAAAATTATCGACCTATCACTAAACTTTGTATTTTCTCAAATATTTTTGAGAAGCTGATTTATGATGCTATCTTAAACATTACAGAAAATATCATTACGGAACTCCAGTATGGATGTTTCCCTAAAAGATCTGTAGAGACGAATTTGATGAGTTTTATAGAATATGCCTCTCACGCAATAGATGAGCAACAGCAGGTGGATGTTATCTATACCGACTTCAGTAAGGCTTTCGACAAGATTGATCATTCTATCTTGATGGAGAGACTTGCTGAGGTGGGTGTAGATGGTCCATTATGGCAGTGGCTAGCATCTTAGTAACTTCTGTTTTTCATTTCAGTAAATATTTGTTATATGCTGATGATCTAAAGATATTTACTATTGTTAGAAATGTAAATGACGGTGTAAAACTTCAAAGCGATTTGGAATCTCAAAAGTATTGCACTAAATACAGTATCTTCCTGAATTTAAAAAAATGTCATTACATCAGGCTTACTAGAAACATAGCGAACACTATAGATTTCAGATATAAGATAGGGACGGCAGAACTGGAAAAGCTTCATGTAGTAAAAGACCTAGGGGTATACATTGATGAAAAACTAGGCTTCATAAACGGGACATGCAGAGAATTTACGAACCCAAAAACGCTTCTTTCATTGTACTACGCATCAGTAATATGGAATTCGTCTTACAATGTACATATAGCCAGGATCGAAAGAATTCATCACAAATTTTTGAAGATGTTAGCACATAAAACTCACCAACCTGTTACAGATCATCATTGTACGCAAATTATGAAACAGTTCAATATGATCTCCTTAAAAGATAGAAGAACGATTTCTGACATTTGCTGTGTTCATAAATTGTTGAATGGCCTCACTGACTGTCCGGATCTTTTGGCAAACTTGAACTTTAACACTCCTGATAGAACGTTTAGAACCAATCATCTGTTTACAATACCGTTTCCGTAGAATCTTGGGCTTAATTCCCCTTTGGTCAGGGCTCAAAAAAATCATAATAATTTCTGTAATATAGTTTTATTTAACATTAGCTTGACCTTCCTGAAAAAGGCTTTAAAGAATGAGTATTACAGCTCTATGGCAGACTAAAATAGAAATGTTTTATTTTGTTTACATAACTCAAGTTATTACCTCCAATATCATTTCTGGTATAATTTCAATTTATGTTTATGTTGTTACAACAATATCGGAAGATAAAAAAAATAAAAAAATAATATTAATATTAAAGTATTCAATAATGTAATATATGTATATGTATACGATATTTTATGTAAGTTTAGTTTTAGTTCACTGAGGGTGTGTGTTGGGTTAACCTGTTAACACCCCAAACTGTATACAGGGTGACTTTGAAGTTGAGTCATTAATTTTCAGATAATGATTGTAGAAGGAAGATAAACCAAAATATGTGTGTAAAAATAAAAAAATAAAAAATGTTTACCTTGTTTTATAAAGTATCCTAAAGTATTTCAGTGCGGACCTGTATTTGATCGTGCGGTCTTGGAGCACCGGCATGCCCTCCCCTGTGAGGTCTTAAGTCACCTGATTCACGAGCCCTTTGTACTACATTAACAAAGGCACGAGGGGTTGGTTGCACTCGATTGGGAAACCGATCCGCATAAATCCGTGATGCCGCGGCAGCATTTTGTAAAAACTCCCCCCCCCCCCGTAAATAAGAATCATGTCCACAAGTTCAGCATTTTCGTAAACATGTGCCATTTTTTATTTCGTTTGAGGCACGCAACAAACACCACCCTCACTCACGCGTCACCGACTGACACATTGACTGAATACAACTGAATAAAATTGTAATAAAAACATCGTGATAAGCGTTTCAAATTCTTTCGCTTTTTTGTTTCCGATGCGATGAACCGATAAGGCGGATTATATCCGTTGTTGCCAAACACGAGCACATAATATTATTATTGAAACAGGGCGGTACTGAAACTTCTAAAGGGCTATAACTTTGTTACTTTAATTTTACCAGAAAAATGTTAAAGGAAAAAAACATTTCTTTTGATCAGATCTACTCACTGTTACAATAAATTACTCAACTTCGAAATAAAATATTCAACCGAGTTATCTGCATATACCCAGCTGCACTTTTCAACAATCACCTTTGCTGGTGATACTTGTAATTATTCAACTATATTCTTCCTATTATTAGGCTTTTTTATAAAGTTCCTAGTTATGATTCTAGTTTCACTTATCTTTTTGTTTTAGGTTTCCTTTCTTCCGAGGTGCTTACCAAGGCTGGAAGAACTCAGTGCGACACAATTTATCTCTTAATGAATGCTTCATCAAGCTTCCCAAAGGTCTAGGCAGACCAGGCAAAGGCCATTACTGGACTATTGATCCTGCTAGTGAATTTATGTTCGAGGAGGGATCCTTCAGGTGAACTGAAAGCTCTGAATACTTAGATCTAAACTATTGTTGAATTTTTTAACCGCGCATAGAATATCGCTCCTTTCTCAAAATCCCTAAAACGCGCCATGTGCATTGTTGAGTAAAAAAAATCAAATACTAGCATGTTGGGTTATGAGCAAACTTCAAGAAACAATGCACATAGTACACACACAGTACAATGATGTTTTAGAATTTGTGTCGGGCCGTTTGTTGAAATTAGATCGGATCATATTAGAAATAAGCAAAAAGTAAAAGCTTTTTTCCAGTTCGCGACTACTTTCAAGTAGCATCAAAAATTTGTTTGATTTAAAACTTTGTGAATGTTATCCACACTCGTCAAAAAATATTTTTATTTAGTACAAACATTACCTATCGGTCTGATATTATTTTATACAGAATTCCAAGTTACCTCACGGAGCATTATTATGGAAATTTTTTATTATGTCCTGAATACACAATGGATGTTTAAGTTATTACAAAGAAAGTAGTCAAAAATTTTGTAATCGTCATACGTTTCTCGCAGGTCACACATTTCCACCGGTCTGTCCTGCGGCCTGTCTAGTAACCCTTCGACGCTATAAAAGGTGTTTTAGAAAGACGTGGCAATATTTCTAGGATGTCAAGTAGATCGAAAATAACAAGAAAAGTTCCTACAAACATAGGTCCTAAGACACAGAGGTGGAAAAATATATCTTTGGAGGCGACCTAAATTTTGACTAAAAATTTTGTACATAACCAATCCATAAAACAATTATCGTGTCCGAGACTACACCAGTGACGTGGAAATTGGTAAATTTTGTCCCCTACAAAATAAAAACGGAAATTACTCTTCTCTCAACTTTTTTGAAACAGATATTGCATTTTTAATAAGGTGTTCAATTTCATATGGGTCGCCTTTATTGCGAAATTTTTGTTAAAGTACTTCACTTGGAGTATTTGAATATTTGAGGTAAAATTTGTATGAAAAAGTTCAACTCGTTTGACTTTGAAAAAGCTAGTGAAGTTTGGCATTGAAAATTGTACGTAGTATATTAACAAGGTGATCCTAACTCAACATACCGTTATTGAATAACATTCATGTTTTGTCCTTATTTAATTTCTCTCTGTCAATAGAACATTTTAAGATTTTTGTTTATAGAAGCCTTTTTTATTATTTTTTGATGAATGTTGCCACGTTTTCCTTAAACACTCTGTATAACTCGAAAAGTACTACTCGGATTCTGATGAAATTTGTCACAAAGTTACTATAGTTACAAGACAGAAAATCATTGTGATCTTGACGACGTGGGAATTATGAGTAAAATAAATAATATTTTGAACAGCGCTTCCAATATTTTTCCAGAAATTCACTATAGGAGATCCGAGATCAAAGATTCTCATATTTTACTTATAAAGAATGACTCTTAAATTTTTAAATCGATTTGTTTCAATGCGTGGGCCAGGGGCGTATTTACCCTCTCGCCAAAAGGAAGACAGCTGAAGCCGCCTCAATAAAAAGTTTTTGCTTTTTGCGAATTTTTTTGTTAAAGTACTTCACTTGGAGTATGATTTGTATATTTGAGGTAAAATTTGTATGAAAAAGTTCAACTCGTTTGACTTTGAAAAAGCTAGTGATGTTTGGCCTTGAAAATTGTACGTAGTATATTAACAAGGTGATCCTAACTCAACATAGCGTTACTGAATAACATTCATGTTTTGTCCTTATTTAATCTCTCTCTGGCAATAGAACATTCTAAGACTTATGTTTATACAGGGTGGGGCAAAAGTCGCGAAGGGATTTGAAAAATTAATAACTTTTTTAAATTTTAATTTTAATTTTTTTCCCTAACACAAAACTAAAATGCAATGTTTGGAGTTTGTTTACAATTTAAGTGTGAAAGATTACATCACGCAAATGACCGCCATTTTCAGCCTCGCAAAGTGCAGCTCTTGCAAGAGCATTTTCCATTACCCGAGTCAGAATATCTGGCCCCAAAGCACTTACTTCTGCTCGAATATTATCTTTTAGTTGCTGCAGGGTTGTGGGTTTATTAATATACACTTTTCCTTACAGATATCCCCAAAGGAAATAATCAGGGGCTGTTAAGTCCGGCGAGCGGGCGGGCCAATTGAATCCTGAATTTCTCGAAATTAAACGTTCGCCAAAAATCTGCCTTAGAAGGTGCATAGTGGCTCGAGCAGTATGCGCAGTGGCTCCATCTTGTTGGAAAGTCATCGTTTGATTGTCAGCAAGAGCTGGTCTTAAGAAATTTTGAATCATATCACGATATCGGTCGCCATCTACAGATACAGCATTCCCATCGTGGTCTTCGAAGAAGAATGGTCCAATAATTCGTTGAGACGTAACTGCGCACCATACTGTACATTTAAGCGGATGTAATTGCCTTTGATGAACCACCCTTGGGTTCTCGGTACCCCATATTCTGCAGTTCTGCTTATTTACGAAGCCATTCAAATGAAAATGGGCTTCATTGCTCATGATCAGAGAATGAATAAATTCATTATCTTCTCGAGCCATTCTTTGCAAGCGAACTGCATAAGTTAGTCGTTCTTGAAAATCTGCTGGTTTTAGTTCTTGCACTAGCTGCACTTTATATGGAAACAGATGTAAATTTCCTCTTAATATTCTGCGTAAAGACCTTTGAGACATCTGCAGCTCAGCAGAACGTCTTCGGGTTGAGGTTTCCGGATTCTCCTGAACACTCTCCTGAACGCGTTGAATGTTCCCTTCATTTCTTGCGGAACGTGGCCTTCCGCTTCGTGGGAGATCCATAACTGTGCCTTGTTGCTGAAATCGTGCCACTAAGCGTCGAATCATTGATTCAGAGGGCGAATTCCGCAAATTGAAATGACGACGATATGCTCGTTGAGTTTGAATTATTGAATGGTGATATTCAAAATAAAATTCTATAAGTTTGGTTCGTTGATTGAGGTTGTAACGCTCCATAATTAATCTCCAGGATTTATTTTACACGGTCCTGAAAAAAAATATGAAAACAAAATAAATTTAAAAAAGTTATTAATTTTTCAAATCCCTTCGTGACTTTTGCCCCACCCTGTAGAAGCCTTTTTTGTTATTTTTTGATGAATGTTGCCACGTTTTCCTTAAACACTCTGTATAACTCGAAAAGTACTACTCGGATTCTGATGAAATTTGTCAGAAAGTTACCATAGTTACAAGACAGAAAATCATTGTGATCTTGAAAAAAGTTTCGATGACGTGGGAATTATGAATAAAATAAATAATATTTCAAACAGCGCTTCCAATATTTTTCCAGAAATTCACTATAGGAGATCCGAGATCAAAGATTCTCATATTTTACTTATAACCAATGACTCTTAAAACTTAGTTTTTGTTTCAATGCGAGGGCCAGGGGCGTATTTACCCTAGGGCCAAAAGGGCCATCGCCGAGATGGCAGGCTACAAGAGACAGCACCAGCCGCCTCAATCAAAAGTTTTTGCTTTGTGCGTTCTCTTATGGGTATCAAACTTTAAAAGGTCCAAGGCACTGAATCTAAAATTTTTTTAAGTAAGAATCGATTTGAGAAATTTAATTTTACAATGTAAATTTTATCATAAACTAAAATATAATCATTTTGTCATTTTTTAAAATAGTCATCATACAAGTTCAAACATTTGTCAAGTCATACCACCAGATGTTGGATTCCGTCGGTTTCTTTCAACATGTCATCATTTTCAAGCGCTTTCCGCCGAGAAATTCCTTAAGTTTTGGAAAAAGATGGAAGTTTGGTGGTGCTGTATGAAACTTGTACGTTTGCTCTATGTAAAGTGAGAACGAACATTGTCAGCAGGATGAACTTTTTTACCTTTAAAACCGAACTACTAAACGCACTTCTCAATCAACAACCAACACCAGCAGAGACGTGAAACGTAATGGCGACATAGTGAGAAACTGGCCAAGAATGTGCGAGATTGAACGGACGCGTGACAGGATGCGCAATCGGTTCTTACTTTATTTTTTATTTCTACGTATAATTTCCTTATTTCCAGAAGGCGGCCTCGAGGCTTCCGCAGGAAATGCCAGGCTATGAAACCTCCCCACCCCCACCAGTACGGTCACCACCCCGGAGGCGCAGCGTTCTTCGCTAATAATGCAGCTGTTATGAACCAAGCTGTAGCTGCAGCTGCAGCTGCCGGGTACGACCACCAAGCACTGGTACAATCAGCCCAACAGGAGTACCCGGGAGCCGCGTGCTCATACAACTCGGCATCACCACAGGTAAGCACACTCAAATTTAAACACTTGTAACTGCACAGCTACATAGAAAGTGTTGCGTGCTAGTCCCATTATACAGGGTGTTTTAGTTTATTGTTGCATAACCTTAAGATTCGATAGAACTTTTAAAATTAATGCATAAAGTCTATATAAACATGGGTCGAAAAATGCGTGGCTTCCGAAATACAGGGTGTTTAAATTTACTTTCTAAAATAGTTTTTTTTAAATATTTCGAACAATATTTGATGTATAACAGTGAAAATTGGTATACAAGGGTTTTTTGTTACGACAAAACGAACCATGGGCATAGTTTTACTGTAGCCGCTAGAGGGCGCTCTCTACTGTACCTGTAGTGTATTAAAATGACCGAAAATTTTTTCTTAGCAATTTTTTGCTTTTGGAATAAAAAAACTGATTCTTCGCACTTTTCAACATAAAAAAGCTCTCTTGTGAATTTTCGTTATAGTTAGCCGTTTTTGAGATATTTCGATTTTTAAGGTTCGATGCATTTTTAATTATTTATGATAAAATAATGTTAAAAAGTCAGTATCTCGATAATTTTTAGAAGTAGGCTGTGCCTACAAATATTTTTGAAATTGAAAGCAGAATAAGGTTAAATGTCAATTAGTTGACAGTTAGTTTTGTTGTCTGTTGAAACCTGAAACGTCTTTTTGCAATTGTGAATGCACGAAATTTAGTTTCTTTTACCTGTTTTATTTTTTTGTAAGTTTTATAAAAATGCCATTTTTATTCTCCAATCAAGAGTTGGCGGATATTCATTTTGTGTATGGCTTTGTAAATGGAAACGTAGCAGAAACAGCCAGAGAATACGCACGAAGATTTCCAAACAGGCGACATCCAACTCGCTCAGTATTTGTAAGAGTGCATCGCCAAATAATTGAAAATGGTTATGGAAATCTCCAAAGGGATCAAAACATAAATGTCCGTCAGCGCAGATTTACCCGTATGATTCTGCGTGAGTTTGATAGAGATCGGACTACAAGTGTTAGGAGAGTTTGTGGTGCCTTGGGAATTTCAGCAAGCCATGTTCACCGTGTTCTTAGAAATGACCATAGACGTCCTTACCATTTGCAACCTGTGCAAGGACTACAGCCAGGGGACGGAGAACGAAGGATCACATTTTGTCAGTGGATTCTTGATAGAACTGATAATAATAGGGAGTTTTTAAGTGACGTTTTATGGACCGATGAGTCATGCTTCACTAGACGTGGAGTGGTAAATTTTCATAATCAACATATTTGGTCGCATGAAAATCCGCATGCAGTTCGGGAAAGAAATTTTCAGCATGAATTTAGTGTGAACGTGTGGATTGGTATCTACCGTAATCGACTATTTGGACCCTACCTTTTGGCTGCAAGGTTAAATGCTGCGACCTTCTTGGAATTTTTAAAGGCTGAACACGCAAATATGTGGGATGATGTTATGTTAGATTTAAGAAGATTGGCGTGGTTCCAGCTTGATGGTTGTCCAGCTCATTATGCGAGCATAGTTAGAAACTGGCTGGACGAAAATTATCCAGAAAGATGGATCGGCCGTGGAGGACCAGTCGCCTGGCCTAAATCCATTAGATTTCTTTGTGTGGGGATTTCTAAAAGAAAAAGTGTACCAGACTCCCGTAACCACAAGAGATATGCTAATAGACAGAATCAGGAATGCATGTGAAGAAATAAGGCCTTATTTGAATAATGCTATACCACGTTCGATCATTCGTAGATGTGAATTGTGTATTGAACAATTGGGTTTACATTTCGAGCAACTACTTTAGATTTTGTATGTTTGTCCTAACTATCCAATAGCATTTTAGTTGTAAATAATTAATTTAATTTGTTAAAAATAATATTGGAAAATTAAACAAATTAATATTCTGTTTTTTTGTGTTTATTTGGAGTTAGGAATTATTGCTGTGTTTAAAAACACAATCTAAACGATCATTTTAATCACTTGTAATGCCCAAATCGAAAATGTAAAAAAAAATATTATTTTCCCATAAATAATTAAAAATGCATCGAACCTTAAAAATCGAAATATCTCAAAAACGGCTAACTATAACGAAAACTCACAGGAGAGCTTTTTTATGCAGAAAAGTGCGAAGAATCAGTCTTTTTATTCAAAAAGCAAAAAATTGCACTTAGTCATTTTAATACACTGCAGGTACAGTAGAGAGCGCCCTCTAGCGGCTACAGTAAAGCTATGCCCATGGTTCGTTTTGTCGTACCAAAAAACCCTTGTATACCAATGTTCAATGTTATACATCAAATATTGTTCGAAATATTTAAAAAAAACTATTTTAAAAAGTAAATTTAAACACCCTGTATTTCGGAAGCCACGCATTTTTCGACCCATGTTTATATAGACTTTATGCCTTAATTTTAAAAGTTCTATCGAATCTTAAAGTTATGCAACAATAAACTGAAACACCCTGTATTTTTCCCGTGTATTTTTACGCTGAACAAATCTGAAATCAGGATCTGCTGAGCACGTGTTGAACATGTAGAGGTGCCAAAAAGATGTAAAAGCTTCAACAATTGATCAATCTTCAACTTTTTTAAATCAGTTAGTGTTTTATTTAAAAAGCATAACTATGATTTTTTAGTAATATTTCTAAAGAACCTGATATATCCAGTTTTTTTATCGTTTTACTATGTGATCTCATCCACTTTCTTCTAAGAGCAATTCAGCAACAATCTTGCTGACTAAACTCCTGATGATGATGGCATAGACCATCGAAAGCAGAAAGACTTATCAAGGATACTTTCTCCTAGCTGGTTACGACAAATTATCATGTCCTCTGTAAATGTATATACAGGGTGTTTCTCAAATTTTAACCACCAATGCACTGTTACGAAAGAAGTTGACTTCTGAAAAAGAATGTAATAAAAGTCCTACAGAAATTAAGTTATAAACCTGAATTTCAATAATAAATTGAAAAATAAATATCTGTATTTTGCATTCATCGCCGTGATATTAGAACACGCATCAATAATTTATTGTAGCAAACGTTATACCAAACAATTGGCGAAAACAAAACACCAGGAATTTTTTTTCATACTTATAAGAACGTGTAAATAAGGTTTAATCTTTATCGTGGGTGATCTGAATGGAGAATGGTCGATTTTTGTCAAGTTAAATAAAAACAAATTTTGCGAGTTTGTTTTTACTTATTTATTGATAAAAATGGCACATGTGTACTCTAATGAGGAGTTAGGGAGTTAGTGGACATTGTCTTAGCGTACGGAGGGGCAGGGCAACATTCGTGAGCGGCTTCTCGTCTGAATCAGGTATACCAGATACGCTGGATCGGAAGGGGTGGACCAATTGCATGGCATCCACGGTCTCCCGATCTAAATCTTCGGGACTTCTCTTTATGGGGATATAGGAAAAACCAGGTATACCGTACTCCAGTTCAGAATATTGAAGAATTGCGTGACCGAATCACAGTGGCTGCCGATAATTTCAGTGTTCAGGCACAGCAGGAAGGAGGTGTATTTGAATTAGTGCGCCGTAATTGGATTAGACGCGTCAATGTAAACAATTTTGAACAGCTTTTATAAATAAGTGAACTGTTAAACTGTATTATTTCATTATCTCGATTTCTGTAGGACTTTTATTACATAATTTTTTTTTGGGGGGGGGAATCAACTTCTTTCGTAACAGTGCATATGCGGTTAAAATTTGTCGGATAAGTTGTGAAACACCCTGTATATCATGAATATTTGAAAAGTGAGCCGGTGGAGTCTCTTCAAATATTGAGATGACGTTTTAACACCCCTCAAATTTCACATGCTTTTTAAAAACCTCTCAAAATTTGTTTTTTTCGCAAAAACATGCGTCTGTACAGTGCCAGTGCCTTGTACATATAAAATATAGAGCATCTCTTCAAATTTTGACCAAACATGATATCGCACTATATGTCTATGTTGTTCCAGTGTGGTGTCTCCGGTAGCCACTATGGTAACTACGATTATCCAGGAGTTTACCAGCAACAGTGCGACCGGGATTGGACCACAGGAGCTTTGCTGCCTTCATATGCCGAGAGCGCCATCACCAGTAACTACTTGAAAGCTCCTTTGAGTCCTCTACCGGAGAACCAAGATACTCCTCCACCTAACGCTGATAACTACTATCAGTATGTTGCTATCAGCACGTCGTCAGATAATTGTAAGTATTTCGGTAGGACTTTTATTTAAAAATTTAAACAAAATGGTACAAGGTGGTCCCCGGGGGCGGGAAGTTTTGAATACTTTATGATTCTAAAGGCAATTTAATTTAAATAAAATACAGTACAACATTAACAAACTAGTAATATTCAATTTTTATTTCTTGAAAATAATACCGCGTAAATGTCATCCCCTTCTCTGTATGCACTGTTGAATTCTTTAATGGAAATTTGCCATAACACGATACAACGTATCCACAAGAATCTTAGCAATGTCTTCAATAATGTTTCTTTCAGGCTCCTAGCAGGTTCTTGGTTTCTTAATGAACACCTTTTGCTTTAGGTAGCCCCACAAAACATAATCACCAGCCGTTAGGTCTGGCGATCTTGGCGGCCAGTCAATGTCTCCTCATTTGGAGATAACATGTTGCTGAAACAATCTTTGCAATGAACATAATGTTTGATTATTATGTGGAAATCTGCTTAAGCGGTGAATCAAAAACTGGTTTATCATATCGGAATAACGCACAGATTTAATGGAGACAGCATTCTCATTCTGATCTTCAAAAAAGTAGGGCCCTATAATTCCCACTTAGGAGATCGCACACCTTACCGTCACTTTTGGGCTATGTAACGGTTGTTCGTGGAGCTCCTGTGGATTTCCTTAACTCCAATAACGACAATTTTATTTGTTGGTACATCCACATATTGTGTATATCGATTTCACTCTCAATCAGGGTTTCAGCAAAACAGAAACGAGCGAGGATGTCTGTTGGTTTCAGTGCTTGGACAATTGAATTTTGTATAGTTGAAGGTTGAGATCTTTATGCAAAATTCGAAGTAAAGATGTCTTACAAATTCTTAACGCTTTGAGCTTGTTTTCGGGTTGAACGTTTTGGACCATATTCCATAGATATTCTTATACGACAGATGTTTTCAGGGTTTCGTACACTTTTCTTTGGTACTTTATGTTTGACAATGACAGCTGAACCTGTTTGCTCAAATTTATGAACCCATTCCTTCATAGCATAAGCCGAAGGAACTCTGACATGTCGTCCAATTTGGAAATAAAGTCGGAAATGTGGCTGAGCGACACCCACACAGTTATTGTTTTTATAGTACGACTTACTCACAAATGCACGTTGCTCATCAGATCACTGCTGACATGCAGTGACAGATAATTTCAAAAAACAATCCATAGCCAACTATGCATAGTTACGGAATAATTATCAAAACCTCCCTCTCCCGAGATCCACTGGCGAATTTAGAGGAGGTCACGCGCCCCCCTCTAGACGTCTGACATTTGCTTTTGCAATTCTAATACCATGTGTTACTTTCTGTTACATCATGGTGACAGAGGCATGCTAACTATAAGTTATAGCTACAGGAACCGAGCATTATGACTTTTTGGTATCCTTTGGTAGCCCAAATGCTGTCCTGACATCACTGTTTACAGCACAACTCTTACGATTTATACGTATATACGAGTATTGTGACTTGTGACAAATCTAAGTCTGGGTAATATATTAGCTATAGAGATTGCACTTAAAAACTGATTTATGTTCTGTTTGTTGCTCAATAGTAATTTGCTTGACTGATTTTGTTCGGGGTTGGTGTTACAGCGAAGCACTATGTTAGATGAACGCCTAATAGACATTTATGAGATTTGTTTAGCGATGCGTCTGTGGCCTGTTTAGAAACTGCGTCGATCGATGCTCAAAATCAATACCACACATCCCGCATCTCTTCTCACGAATGTGTCTATTTATGCTGCTATATTGAATTCGTTTAAATTACAGAGCTGCTGCACTATAGGTGAATATCTACAGCCCTGTATTCCTATACTTGTTTAGTACAAACATACAATATCAAAATAATTACGATCTAACAGTTTTCTCCAAGGATTTCCAACATTTCTACATGCGATCAATACCGGTTCGAAAACTGAGAAAACAACTATAACCGTAAATCTAAGTTCGACAACGAAAAAAAATAACTGTAACATCTAGATTGAATTTCAAAAAACCCAACCCCTACTTAGCGGCTGAGCGGGGCCGTGGCAAATGCTTGTTCCGGAAGTTGTTGTATCCAGCATACAACTTCTTCCCGTATAAGTGATTGTACACGCGTTGAGGAATACCTCAGTACCGATTGCCGGGTGGCGGTACAAGTCCGCCAACGGGCCACTTTAGGCCTATTTAATATCATTAATATGCAAAAAGGTGGTAGACAAGGACCAGTCGACCGAGGCGGTACTACCCTATAGCTTTTCCTTATAAATGTCAGCATGTTTCCACACCTAAGCTATGCAGTCGGTTATCTTCCAAAACAAAGAAATTAATGATGACGGATCCTCGAGTACTAAGAATTCCGGATGTAAGTTCACTCCACTCTCAGAATGTCCGGGTGGAGGGTGGAATCGAGGGAACAACTTCGAAGATAAAATTTGTTTCACGAACATCTGCGGGATTAACAGCAACATTGATGCTGTTCATCACTACTTGCAATCCAATCGTCCCGCCATGCTTTTCTTGGCGGAGACAAAAATCTCAGAACCGCACCGATTAACCATCTTAGCTTATCAGATTACGAGGTGCACTCCAATCTGAGAAAGAACGGGGGAGCTGTGGCCTTTGTCCGCAGCAGTCTTTCCTGCTGCAGAGATGTTTCTCTGGAATCAGACCGGAAGGACATTCTGTGGCTTCGCCTCAACTCCAAAACATACCCCAAATTTATTTGCTGCCTTTATCGTTCCCCTTGGACTATAACTGGGATGACCCTCTTGAATACCTCGCCGTCAAGATCGACTTCCTGAACATCAATCACTCCGCTTTAGAGGTAGTTCTCTTTGGTGATTTCAATGACCATAATTTGCTTTGGTTGGGCTCAAACAAGTCCGATGCAGCAGATCGTGCAGTTCAAGCGTTCGCTCTTACTCAAGGGCTGACCCAGCTGGTGACGGGCCCTACTTTTTTGCCCCGCGTCTCGTCACATGCCAGTATCCTGCTGGATCTCTTTCTGACCACGCGTCCTGTCCCTTACAGCTCTGCTGTCCTGTCTCCCCTGGGTAAATCAGACCACTGTGTTGTGGAGGTTAGGTTTCGGTCAGAACCCGCTGTTTCAACAGAAACTCGCACAGGCCGCAAAATTTGTCATCACGGACATGCCGACTGGGAGGGGCTCAGAGATTTCATCTCTACCTTTCCTTGAAGAAATGTCTGTTTCACTGACGCGGATGCGTCGGCTGTCTGTTCTTCGACAACCGAAATTAACCACGTCGGAATGGAGGAATACATGCCTCATACTGTTGATATAATAGAAGTGCTTGATTGTGTCAGTATTTGCACCATTTACTTGATTTGTTTAATGGGCAGTTCAGAGTCTTAATCCTTAAGCTTATTACATACTAGAAGACCCCTTGCGCAATTTGTCTATAGGCAGTCTGGAGAGGGTCTCAAGACACGATCTATAGATGGTCTACAGACATCCTTCTTTGTCTTGTCTAGCGACCATACGATAATGTGAATTTTTTGGTCTCATGTTCGTTTTCGCAATCAAAGACATTATTTTGTGTGAAATGGACTGTGATATGTCTCGGGGTCCCTCAGAATGTTTTATTTATTTTTTGTCGGTTAACAGAGCAATGAAGTTTTTTATGTTTGAATCTTTAATATTATTACACTATTTAATTATAAATACCAGGTACTTATTTTGTTCTCATATAATAAAATATTGGCTTTCTGAGGATTGCTGAGCAATTTCCATGTTTTTTTTTTCAAGCTGGCCTTGGCCAGATAGAACACAATGGATTTAAAGAGCAATAATATGATAATTTCTAGAAGTTCCACTGAGGTTAAAAAATGACCAGCCCCAAATATCGTTTGCGCCCAATTTAGACGAAATCCTGAATCCGCCCTTGCCGGGTACCACCTTGTATTTGTACATAACAAGTACATTTTTAAAAAATACAAAAAGCAGCGACTGAAAAGAACGATTTTTTTATTGTGATGTCTAGACGAATGTAAGGACACCTCAAATGTCAAGATCCATCAAGCCATAGGCTGAAGCTCGTGGAATAGACATGTCAAGGTTGAAGTTTAAGATCCGCCATTCTAATTGAATTTTATATACCCAGTGTCACTCTTGCTGTCAAGAAAAATCTAGAGACACCTCTTATGTCAAAGTGCATCAAGTCGCTTAAGTTGTAGTCCACGAAATAGAAATTTCAAATTTGAAATTATGATTTTATAAAATTCTAGTATGCCCACTGTCACTTACTCTATCAAGACAAATCTATAGACATCTCGTTGCATAGGAATTTCAAACTTGAAATTTTCGATTCAAATCAGAAGTAAAAACAAATGGAAAACCAGTGACAGTTTACGCGGGAGCGGTCTATTAGGTGCCTTTCTTTTCATTTTTTGTTCTCGATAGATTGTGAGTACTTTCACTCAAGTTCTTCTCTATTTCTTTTAAGTATATGTACAGGTGTAACTGCAGATATGCATACTAGCTAGTATGAGTTCTGATTATTTGCAAAAGAACTAAACAAGTAAGTGAACTGCTTTAGTTGCTTATCAAAAGTGTATTTTGTGATTTGAGGAACATACACTGAAAATCGACATTCACATATTATACATTTCGTCTATATTTATCGAAAGACCTGCCAGCTACCTACTGTTCGAAAAGGAAACAACTAACAAAAAAGTAACTTCCGGCCACCCACCAGGGAGCAGCACCCGCAGGCATTTGTGACTGACAAGCGCCGCATCAAGTAGTATGCGTACGCTGCTATCTCGAGTTACTGGACAAACAAATCAAACGGTGAGACGCCTTCAAGTGACATCGCCGCGGGATGCCATCAATGTTTTGCCGTCGCCGCGTTGTGGCGCATAGTGCTAGTCAACTCGTCTGGGATGAAACTGATGCGTGCCTGTGACTAATGCATGCAATCTAAATGCCGCACAGTTTATCGCCGCGTTTGCTATTTTAGATTATATCGCGGAACAACTAACAGGTTAGGTATATAGCGTTTTCTTTTGATAAAGCTAACCCAGTTTCCATGTATCTGCCTTGTTTGATCGGAAATTTGCTCTCAAAGGAAACTATTTCGTGTCTCGTGCTGTCATCTGCAATCTGCAATCTTCAAAGAAGAGAAGGCAGTAAAAGCATGGTTGTATGCTAATCGACAAATAAAAGCTGTAACATGTGTCACTGATGGCAGTGAACAACACTAGTACGAAGTCTTCATAGGTCGTACGATATTTTTGAACTCAGTGGAAAATTAGTTCAAAGTGCGGACCAAAGCCCTCTGCCCCCCAGGGCCATACTCTTAAAAATTTTTATCGACAAGGGGTATCAAGTGTAGCTTGTTTGAAAGGTCTTCAAAGTCCTTTATTTTGACTTTTGATTTTTTTAAATCGGTCGATTCGTTTCCAATAAAATTATAATAATCTTCATTTATCTTAATTTTTACCACCAGACACTACATATTAAAAAGCTACCCTCGCAGCTCAGAAAGAAATATAAACTATATCCACCTTCATGATCCGATTTCTTTTGTTCCAGTGATGCGTCCCTCCAGTAACACCTCCTTGCATCACCAGCAGCAGCAGCAGCATCAGCAACAGCAACAACTCCAGCAATGTGACCGAAAACCGTACCACCTATCGCCCCCCACCCCGCCAGCTGCGCTACCGTCTCCCGTTTCTGATGCCAGTTCGGCACATTCTGTGGCGACAGCCTACTATGATACCAGCGGAGTCAAATTCGGTATGTGAGATGATGATTGGGAAGTTGCAGTCTTGCAAATGTGATTGAGGACCAAAGATTTAGTTGACGTGAAGTGTTGTAGGAAAAATTGTGAAATGATAAATCGGTTGCAGGGTGGATTCACATTGCCACATATGGAGAGCAATAAGCGTATTTGTTTTTCAAAGTACGGCGTAATGGAGGTATTCTAAACAGTAGTCTAGTCCCACGGTTCAAATTTCATTATATCTTGAGTAGATTCAAAATAGGCAGAAAGTTATAGATGTGAATAAAATTAAAATATTTTTTGTGACATGGACAAAACAAGGTGGTTATTATGTAAAACGTACCCAAAAAGCTTGAAATAGCATTCGATTTTTTCTATCACCCACGGTTTTCTTGCAATAAGGCATGTTATTTACTGCTTATACTTGTAAAATATAAGGATATGTGTGTAAGAGTACTAATATGAACACTCGAATAAACATTAATCTCAGAATGTTGTTGTCGACGTTTTACGGCGATATGTTGCTCCTGAAATATCTCTTAACAATGTCCAGCAATAATCAGCAAGCAAATTGACTTTTGCCTTGATACCGTTTTTCCATAGCAGAAATGTCTTGGTTGGACCGTTCACCATGTTCATCACTTACCGCACCTAAATTTTCCGGGAAAAAATCGAGATGAGAATCCAAAAAGTGAATTTTTAGAGACATGTTACATGCCATTCCTTTATAAGCATTAATTAGTTCACTCTCAATATCTTTATAATTATCCTCCTTCACATTGCCTAAAAAATTTGCAGTAACTGATTTAAAAGCATTCCAAGCTCGTACTTCAGTTTCATTTAGAGCACTGTCAAATACACATCATCCTTCATGATTTTCCGTATTTGTGGACCCACAAATATGCCCTCTTTAATTTTTGCCTCACTAAGTCTCGGAAATGTTTGTTTTAAATGCAGAAACGCTCTTCCATTTTGATCCACAGCTTTCACAAAAATTTTCATCAGTCCCAACTTAATATGCAAAGGTGGAAGCAACACGTTTTTGGGATCAACTAGTGATTCATGAGCAATGTTTTTGAGGCCTGGAGTTGACACCTGACGTAGTGACCTGTTCTTAATGACGATCTCGCGCACGACTGTCCCATTCACACAGAAAACAACAATACTTGGTATATACCAGTTGCATTTCAAGAAGAATGGCTATTACCTTTAAATCTGCACATATGGCCCCTCCATATCCATTATAACGGATATGCTCTAACAGAACTCGCATATTTTCATATGAATCCTTCATATGAACTGCGTGCGCTATAGGTACAGATGGATATTTATTACCGTTGTGTACCAATACCGCTTTTAAACTAAGCTACTTCTTCTTCTTCTTCCTACTTTATTAATAGGCTCATGCCTGTTTTACTTCTGTTTTTAGCCTCAATTGATGTTGTCTGACCATCTTCTCCTCGGTCGTCCCAATGATCTTCCATTTGGCGATTTGTCTCTTGCTATATAAGACTTTCATTTCTGCTGTTTCCAATAATCTTTGTGTTTTCGCCTTATCTGCTCTTGTTTCCGCTGTGTACGTCATTATCGGTCTTATTTTTCATTTATATATCCTATTTTTAGTTTCCGTTGTGAGGTATTTGTTTCTCCAGATTGTATTGTTGAGACATCCTGCTGTTCGCTATGTTCACTTGTTTTTGTACTTCTTCTTCCACTTTTCCATAGCTTGATAGTTTGATTCCCAAGTATTCCGTTTCCATCACTTGTTCTATTATTTTGTTATTTACGTCTCGGATCCGCTGATATCACTATCGATTTAGTTTTCTCTGTTGAAATCACCATATTGGATATGAGCGCCGTATCTTCGAATTCTTTAATTAATCTTTGTAGGTCATCTTCATTTTCGGCTATAATTATGGCGTCGTCGGCGTAGCATATTATCTGCAATTCCTTTTCTCCCATTCTATATAATCTTCTTTTTTAACTTTCTTTATGATTTCATCCTTTATCAGATTGAATATTAGTGGGCTCAGCGAATCTCCTTGTCTAATGCCATTTTCATACTTGAAGCTTAGACGAATCAATGAACAGGCGCCAATCATTTCGATCATGTTTCTGTCCTAATGCGTCAAACAAATTGTTGACATCGGAGAAATATATCAACTCCCTTTCTTGAGGAAACAGTGTGTGAGGTCTTGTTGCCGTTTTCGGTAAAAAGTAATGTTAACATCACCGTGGAGAAGATTCCATCCGTTTAATCTTGATGCTAAAAGTTCTGACTGGGATTTTTACAGATTTAATTCTCGAACTAAGTCATTAAATTTGCCCTTTGAGTCAAATGCGGCGCTTTTGAACATCTTGGCAGGTCAAACGAAGGATCGGAAATTTTTACGCTTCCTGTACCATCACTTTCAGAATCGGTGGATTCAACTTTTCATCCAAAGACCAAGATTCTGGTGGAACTGGGACAGAAAGTTCATCACTATGCTTAACAAGCCGCAAAGCTGATGGTAAATTAAAATACTTACTACAGTATTTTTCGATTTTGGTCCAATACCTTTAATATTTGTGAGGCAAAAATAGCAATCCGTAGTACGGTCTCTCGGTTCTCTCCAAACCATTGGTACCGCAAAGGGCATTTTACGATTGTCGCCTCTGAACCAACCTGTTAACAATGTTACACAAGTCTTAAAACATATATGAGGGGCCCATAGTTCATCTTGGTCGCCAACTTTAATTCCAAAATAAAGTTCGTATGCTTCCAACACAACAAGAGTAAAAGTACGTTTTTGGGATTTAAAAGTTAGCTCTCTGCACACATAACAAAAACTGTTCGCACTATTTACACAATTTCTAGGCATTGCCCATAAAGCTACAAAACACACCGTTTTAACAAATATTAACAGAACTCAGAACATCTCAGTACTTTTCAACACAGAAAACGTAACTGACTCGGCTGCTATTAGTCTACTAATAAGCGCAGTATGCTCTCTAAACATAGAGCTCGCATACAATAAACAGGAATAGACAGGTCTTATATATGTGCGTCATCGCATAAACGCCGAGAAATGCAGCAATATGAGATGTTACGTATCGTAATTCATAAAAGTAGGATGTTACCGAATATCTGTGGGTGATACAAAAAATCTGTTTTTAGATTTGATTTAAGGGTCTCAAAATACATGGATATACCCAAAAATTGTCATGTCACAAATCCTGTGTTTATCAGTGTAATCGGATTCGAAAATAATTTTACCTCACTTGAAAAACATTTTGTAAAAGATTTTTCATAGGATTTGGCTAATAAAGTCGATAATAATTTGAAGGGTGGAGGGTCGTAGGGGGTGTAACGCAATTTTTGGATGTTAGTAGATTAATACACTTCCAGCGCCAGCAATTCTACGCACCTATTATATATATTTTATACGTCATAGATTTCCACGTACATTTGAAATTAGAACACGTGCTCTTTGGCTTCACCGGCCGGCGTGCCGGTGTTCATGAGTGTAGTCGCATGACTGGCGCTGTGTCGCGCTGCTGCGTCTGACGCATCGAGCAGACAGGTATTGGGAAGAAAATTTTTAAAAGAACTTGTAATTATCGAAATTTAAAAAAATTTGACATTTCGAAAAAAATTCAAATTTAGAATTAAAAATAGGGAAAAATTTTCGGAATTGCAAAAATGATAATTGAATTTTAAATTTGAAAGAGATTGCAAAGAAAGGGAAGGGAAAGTAACTTGTAATAGTGATGCGTTATATGAAATGGAAAGTAATAAATAAAATATATAAAAATCGGGCGGCTCTTGATTATAAATACTTTTGTTGTTTTGAGACTAAAAATTCAGAAAATTAATGATAGTTTACAAAACCAAAAAAGAATACCTTTTAATAGCAAATCAAACTGAAAATAGTTTTCAAGTATAGAAGATTTGGTGTTACTGCAATAGAAAGTCCAAAAATCAAGTACGATTAATTATCTTGGAATAAGATCTGTATCAAAATTGAGTTATTACTAATAAATTAAATTATAGCAAAAAACGTAGGGTGTAATTAATTATATTTTTATAATAACTGCAATTTTATAAATACAAACTAAAAAATAATTCCAACATGTACCCCTATGATTAAATTTTTTGTTAATATCTTAATTTTGATATTGATCTTATTTCAAATTAATTAGTCATACTTGATTTTTGGACTTTCTATCGTAACGCGACTATCTATCGGCACGGGGTATCTTGAAAAGCGACATTATGCCGATTTTTTTTGACATACTGGTTTTTTTTGACATTGTGTAGGTTTTTCTACAATATATTAACTTAGCACTTAGTTGTATGTGTTGCCTAAGCATCATGAGGCTTGTTATCAATCTTTGGCTCTGATGTGATGTAAAATCTGCTTCTGAGATGGCATTACTGGAGGTCTAAGCTGTAAGTTGTATGTGTTGATGATAATTACATAGGGTTCTTGTCTCAAATACACCTAATTGAGATTCAAAGCTAGTTGCGCATCTACTTTTTCTTATCCATTCTGGAAATTACATACTCGTATACAAATTTGCTGAATTTCAAAAATGAGAGAGATAAGTAATAATTATATTCACTGTATACTGTCGAATTACAACCCATATACATGCTAACAGTAATTACACACAACGCGGGCGCGGTGATCATTTCCCGTAATTCTCCTCAGTTTTTCGTAATTTATATCTTTGAACATAATCTCTCTCCAGAAAGCACAACATAAAAATAACCCGTCGGGCACAGCCAATAGATATACTTCATTGGTAGCATATTCAGTAATGATTTTCTCACACATCAAATATCACTGATTTATACACATGCAGACCAATACAAATAATCATCCAGATGCGATCTTGCTATTCAACCTACTTTCTTCTCAGAGATAAAAACTACAGACGAGGACCACTGGGCCTCGCAAAGCTATGCAACCAATAATGCGTATAGTTTAGTTGAGTGATTCCTCCATAGATGGACGTTCACAACGATCCTAGTGAGCAAACGTGGAATGACTGCTTGCGCTCTAAAAAACTACCTAGTCTGCAAGTTGACATCTTATAGTTTTTCACTGCGAACGCACCTTTAAATCAATTACCGAACTGTCAATGTCAAAACATTCAGTAAAGAAAACATTTTCATCATGGTGAAGAGACATGTTGCAACGGTATTTTTTTGGTCAACTGGATGGGCTAGACATTAACGATATGTGGTTTCAATAAGACGGTGCCACAAGATACACATCGGGTGAAACAATCCATGTATTGAAATCAAAATTCGGTGAACGTTCTATATCGAGAAATGGTCCTGCCGAATGGCCGCCTAGATCGTGTGATTTAACACCGCGAGACTTTTTTTGTGGGGCTACATTAAATCATTGGTCTATCCCAACAAGCCAGCGTCGTTAAAGGAGCTCTGAGCCATTATTGAACAAGGGATGGGAGCCGTTTCTGTCGAAATGTCTGGCCGAGTTATCGAAAACTGGGTTCAACGAATCGATCGCTGCGAACGTGCACGTGGTTGAGTCATTAATTTTCAGATAATGATTGTAGAAGGAAGATAAACCAAAATATGTGTGTAAAAATAAAAAAAAAATTAAAAAATTTTTTTTACCTTGTTTTATAAAGTATCCTCCCGACAAGTATTTCAGTGCGGACCTGTATTTGATCGTGAGGTCTTGGAGCACCGGCATCCCCTGTGAGGTCTTAAGTCACCTGATTCACGAGCCCGTTGTACTACATTAACAAAGGCACGAGGGGTTGGTTGCACTCGATTGGGAAACCGATCCGCATAAATATGTGCCATTTTTTATTTCGTTTGAGCCACGCAGCAAACACCACTATTCACTCACGCGTTACCGACTGACACAGACTGAATAAAAACATCGTGATCAGCGTTTCAAATTCTTTCGCTTTTTTGTTTCCGATGCGATGAACCGATAAGGCGGAGTATATCCGTTGTCGCCAAACACGAGCACATAATATTATTGAGACAGGACGGTACTCAAACTTCTAAAGGGCTATAACTTTGTTACTTTAATTTTACCACAAAAATGTTAAAGGAAAAAAACATTTCTTTTGATCAGATCTACTCACTGTTAAAATAAATGACTCAACTTCGAAGTCACCCTGTATGAACGAGGTCGAATCCCATACCTAAATGTTTTGAGTATACTTCAATTCAATAATAAAATTTTCGTTATATCTCAAATGGTCTGCGTTCTATTGTTGTCAAGTCCTTAATGGAAAATCCTTTATAACTTGAAAATTATTTTCTACTTTTCAGTTCGATTTGCGATCAAAGCGTGTTTTTTAGACTTTTAACAGTATAATTTATTGCTTTCGCATCAACCTTTTTGGGTAGCGTGGAGTAACTTTGTAAGCAATAAATAGATTTTCGCCTGTTTTGAATCTCTCTAGCCTGAATCCTCCTGAGGTTAGACTATATTGAAATATGCTGTCTCCAAATGGATTTACGAATCAAAAATAAAAATGTCCAAAATGTTTGAAACATGCGACTTGATTTTGATAACTTGTGCCTTATGAAACGGCTGATGACAGTAAATAATTTTAAATAAGTTACACTCAATATTTTTCGAACTCTACAAACTTTGTACTTATTCTAGATTTTTATAGAACCACTATTTATAGTTGTATATTGAATTATTATTTAATAAATCGAATAAAACTGTAATATTTTTAGAAGCTCGTATAGTTACCAAGATGATTGTACAAAATTTGAATAAAGTACTAATTGTTACATGTGGGTTTCTCTTGTTGACATCACAAGGTGTTATGAATATGATTGATAATATTTATGAGTATATGAAAATCTGATGAACGGAATCGAACCTACGACTGATATATTCACGAGGGTTTCCAATGTAAGGTTCGATACCGTGATCGCAATTTCTTCATTCCCATCATGAATTTTGCAAGAACCTCATCATGTGCTGAACTTGATTTCATGAAGCCTTGCTGTTATTAACCCGCATTACAACTCGTTTTTTTTGACAAGTTTTCACGATATTTGATTGAAACAGTTGCTTTTACTTCCCACGCCAGTGGGTGAGGAAGTATATTAGTCGCTAAAGATTTTTAAAGTGAGATATTATGTTTTTTGGATGTTGTATGACATGTACATGGCCTGTTTGACTGACTTGTACATGTTCGTACCTATTTTTTTTCTCGGGGTTTAACTTGTGCTGAACTTGATCCTTAATGAACTAATGGCGTCATGGCATAAGGAATGCAGAGTCAAACTACTTGATGCCATTTTAGATGAGGTTTTGTTGTAAAATCATAACATTGCTGCGCTACCCTTTTATCTATATGTAAAATCACCATTCATCTTTCATCAACCGGCAAATCTAAAATCCGTAATTGCAGGTCCCACATAAACTGTTTCTATATTTATATGAACGCAGCCATAAACTTTTATTAGTCAGTCACAAATTCTTCATTGGCGTATACATAAAATCTAACGAATTGCTGAAAATTGATTTTTTGTTTAGCTTATTTCTGAGTTGTCATGTATACCGACATTTTTTAACAAGGTTGTACGACTACGAGTAAAAGAGTAATTCAAGGTAAAAGAGTTGATTAAAACTTTATGAGTATACACTAAACAGGAGGTAAAAATTTAAGCGGTACTCTAAGGTGAATTAGACCTTGTACGATTTTTTTGCTAGTGAATCAATTTTCCGAAAATAACGATTTTTACTAGCGAGAATTGAATGAGAAGCTACTTAGTACAAGAGAAGGATAAGCAGTCGTGACAAGAAGCTCAAAATCTTGCATTTTTGTTGCACGGAACATGAAAATAAAAATTAATGAAGCTTTTACTCACTAAAACCTTCCTATTTGCTAACCTATAGAGGGAGAGATATGAAATGGCAAAGGCTGATATCAATTGACCGTTATCATAATCTCACAAATTTCCGAGATCCTGTGCTTGTGGTTTGTCCATCATCTGACCAGATGGTCTGAAGCTGCAGTTTGTATTAATACATCAGTTCTGTGGAACTTAAAAAAAGAATCGCCTCATCGTTGATAGCGATATCCAGCAGTAACTATTTATAACATAATCTCAACCACAGTGTCCGCAAAATGTGTGTCAATTAAATATTCAGAAAACGTATATTTAGACTATTCTATACTTTTATTATTCATATGAGATCTGCAAATAATCACGTATACTAGTTGGCGTCTAATGAAGGACTTAATAATCAAGAACACAACTTTATTAAAAAAAAAATGGTTTAGGTGACACTGTTCTAGATTTCAAAAAGATAAGCCAATGAGTATAAAATCAAAAATTAGTTAAAAATGACAGAATACTAGGAAACGTAATTCGATTTCATTTGTCTCCCTCACGTTTACCTCCTACGCCCCAGGGCAACGAAGTATTGTAGTCGCAAAAATTTCGAAAATGAGATTGTTTGTTAGATGTTATATATGACTTGTACATCACGAAAAACCATGTCCCTCATTTTCGTCGGTCTATCTGTCTGTCAGCTAATCCTCGACAACTCTATAACGAAAAAACAAAAATCGCTTATACGTTGTTTTTTGCTATTTCAGATGATTCTGATCATTTTTGAACAATTTTTTTAATAGTAAAAAATTACTGGATGGGGTCGTTAGGGGCGCAGGGAGGG